CTCCATATGGGATCATATAATCAGTAATACCAAATTTTCTGATGCAGAGGATCCTCAAAGAGGCAACTGCAGAGCATACTTTTAATACTACTTAGATCTTGCTCTTACTTATCCATTCTGAAATTTTCACAGTTGTCAAGACTATGGAAGAACAAAGAAAGGATTTTAGAAGAACATTGTTAAGAGGAACAAACTTTTATTAAGAAGAGTTGAGCTCGAGATGATCCTCAATGAAAGATAAGAGCTCCTTATATAGAAGAGGAGCCTCATCATACAACCGACACAAAACTAATAATACTACCAATGACTCATCACTTTTAGTACAATACTTATTACATAAGGACATGACTCATCACTTTAGTAGCATGACTCACTACTTTTAGTACAATAATTTTACAACCATCTTTAAAAAAGTAGAGAATCTACTTTTTTAAAAGGGATTTTATTGCAAACGACAAAATGATTATTTTACACGAGTTGCTGAGTCATCAAGGTGTTCCAAGATTTGCTTCTCGTCCAGGTTCATTTGAATCATCTGAATCAGAGGGGAGTCCATGTTGCTTCCACCAAGGCCAGGTTGTAGTATCAAATTTTTCTTCAAAACATTTTTCTTCCAATTTTTCAAGATTGTCTGGATCTGTTGGATCAAAATCATACGACTGTGTTCCATAATCATATGGATCTTGAGAATCCTGGAAAACACTGTCATTATAATTTATTTCCGTGTCCAAATATCTTGAGCTTTGTTTGTCTGGATTGCTTGATCCTGGTTTGTCCACGTCCATTTTATCAATTTTCATTTTTTCTTGAAATTCATTTCAGAGATTGTTACGTAGTTGTTGTCTTTCTGGTGTGGTTTCTGGATATTTAGATGTTTCTCCAAGGCATTGATGTGGCCTTCCCAAGTAAAGCTGGTTCCAATGGGTTTTGTCACTTTCCCAAGTAGCAGATGGATAGTGTCCAAATACTTGTCCAAAAATTTGGCATTGTCCTTCTCTGTGTTTCTGAATGTCTTGTTGAATCTTGGTTGCATAATCTAGAGGTAGAATTTCCCATGGAGCATCATCTTCTATGTCTGGCCAAATTTGTGGAGGAATTGTCTGGTTGATTTCAGCCATTTTTCTTTGAAATTTTCGAAACTCCTTTGGATACCTTTCCCAATCTTGATGGAGATTGAAAGGTTGGACTGCATACTCCTTGACATAAGAGAAGTGTTCATAAGAACCTGTTTCTGTAAAATATCCTTGCCGTTGGAAAATCAGAATTACAAAAACATTGTTTTGGGAAGTTCTCAAATCTTTAAATTTTAAAGAAGATGCTTCAAACATTTTTATCCAATGAGAAATAGGATAAAACCATTCGAAGAATTTCTTTGCCTCAAAATGTGCTTCTTGAAATGGATCATTTTTATTAAAACTTCGAAGAGTGATTTCTTTGAACGTTCAAGAGATTCACAAACATTAAAAGAAACTCCAATTTGGAAAAGTTCCAATAAGTATCACAGAAAACAAAGTAATTCCTTTGAAAATTTTGAAATTGCTTGGTGTGGGATTATATGGAACAGATTAAAAAATGGAAAACAAAGTAATTCCTTTGAAAATTTTGAAACTGCTTGGTGTGGGATTATATGGAACAGATTAAAAAATGGATAATCTGGATGAAATCCAAGATCACCAAGAGTTTCAATTCCTGTTTGCCTGATAACAATAGACTAGTATTTTAACACTCTTTGGCTCGGGAATGGAGGGTTTTGTCTCTGATGAGAGTATTAAGTTATGGGGGAATTTGTTCATTTTGAGAAAGCAAATGAAAGGGAAGGTTCATCATACAGATTATAGGGATAGGTTGGGAGTGAAAAACTTTTGGTCTGGTGAGTAGGTCTGGAAGGAGGTTGATTTTTCCCTTTATATGTTTGACATCAAAATCAAAGTTTGAAAACCATTCTGCCCATCTGAGTAGTTGAGAATTTGGAATTTGTTTTTGTTTGAATGAAAGCATTTTAGGGAATGCTGACATGTCCATTTCAATAAGAAATTTGTGTCCAATGAGATGAAACTGAAATTTCTCAGTGCCACGTTTTACCGCCAAGATTTCTTTGAAAGTGGAATGATAATGTTTTTCTGCTTCTGAGAATGCTCCACTTTTGTATCCACAAATGTTTCTTTTTCCATTTTTCTCCTCCAATAGAACTGTTGCCCAATATAGATCACTTGCATCAGTTTGTAAGATCTTTTTCCCGTTAGTAGGGATAGATAAAGCTGGAAGTTCTTGCACCTTTTGTTTGATTTTTCGGACTGCTTCTGTTTGTTTTGAAGACCATGGTGGTGCATCTTTTTTCAGCATGTTCTGCAATGGTCTGATAATAGGAGTTAAATGATCAACAAAGTCGGCCATGTAATTTACAATCCCGAGGAACTGTTGGACTTCTCGTTTAGAGAAATCTGTGTCTGCAAACTTTAACAATTTCT